GGGCCCGGGTTGGATTTGAACTTGCCAGGTCAGGTGTATGTGGCTGGTGCTTTAGCTGTTTGAGGTACAGGTGTCGAGCCTAGATCTCACTTCTTAAAGTCCATACTCAGGACTGGACTCACAGCCCAGTCCTTTCTTCCTGGGTCCCTGCTTGTTGCTGTAGTAAACGGCAGCATTGGCCACCCCATTTCTCTGATGGGTCCCGGGGGGGTCATCTCCGCGTGCATGCTTTCCAGACTTGCTCTGTGTCTGTCTCTGTCTCCTGTTTCTCTCCTCCCTCCTCTGTCTCGTCTCACATTTTCTTTTTTCTCTACCCTCAGTAAATCCCTCGGCTCTTCCCATTCAACCTCACTTGACAGAAGTCAAGCGTTAGCCCCCACCATCTCCAGCAGAGGGTGTCCAGAAAGTTTGTGTGCAATTCAAAATTTGCAATTGTAAAATTGATGTTTTATTATATGTATGTGTTTTCACCCCAATGCCCAGCTTTAGCTTTACTCCTTTTCCTCCTTGGGTATGTGGATTTGAGTTCTGGTGTGTCTTTCACAAGGAGGACCAGAGGGCTCACATTTTCCTCTGCCTGTGTATTATACAGAAATCCTACTCCTGGCAAAAACATGCTATGGAAACTCCTCATTTGCCTGCATCCGTACACACCCCACTGTGGCATCTAACTCATTCTTACGTTGCGGTCAGTGTGCTCTTATAAAGGCAAAGCTGGCCTGTGACTATTCTGCCTGAAGTCCTTAGAGCCTTTCCAAGGTTGTCATCTGCAGTCCTGAGAGTGCTGTTCGAGCAGTGCACACAGCCTGGTGATGCCCTTCCCTCCCTCCTTCCCACTTCTCTGCAGCTCTTCCTCTGGTTCTGTAGGGCTCAGGCTCATGCTGGCCTCTGTCACTTCTTTGAACATGTTCGAGGCGTCATGGCTTTGCACACACTGTTCCCCCGCCCTTCCTGCTCACCTCCTTTGTTTTAGCATAACGTGTATCTCTCCTGGTACATGTTCTCTCGACAGTCCTGTAGACCACCACCATGGCGTTTGGAACAGTCATGATTTTCTGATCTTTTCGCAGTGCCATTATGTGTGTATGCACTCACTGTTCTAATTGGGCTGGGGCTGTGTCTTGGGTGCGTGATGGCCCCAGTGTGGTCCCTCATGCTCATGTTTGTTGAATGAATGAGTGAAACCAATAAAGGGAGAAGGCAAATGTGAATAATTCTGTTTAGCAGCCCAGGTTGGGTTCGAACCTGCCAGCTCCAGTGTATGCGGCCAGTGCCCTAACCACTGAACTATGGGTGCCCAGTCAATAATCTTGCTTGGGAGATACTTAGAATGTGATTACATCTCATTATTGATGGGCTGAAGAACAGGACTAGAACTAAAAATTAGGACACACTGCTGCCTACTAGAGCGAAGTGGGAAGGGACGCACTGAATGGCATTGCCAGATTGAAAGGAAAACTTTGGTCATGTAACAGGGACTCGTGCTCGGACTGGGACGAGGCGGCAGCTCACGTTGCTCTGTGAAACCTGACAACAGCGCACTCAGCACTTCTAGACAGTGGGGTCACTCACACAGGCCTGAGGTCCTGGTTTGGTGAGGGCAGATGTGAACCTGCTGGCCAGTAGTTAAATTGCAGTGCGAGTCCACTGGGCTACAGCAGGCTTGCTGGTGCCAGAGCTGGGCTCATGGAGGAGGTATGCTGGGAGCATAGGCTTGAGGCGGGCAGGAGTCATGAGGTGGATCGCAGGGGAGAGGGCAGCGAGGCAGGAGGTTGTGCTCAGGTGCAGAGTATGAAGGGGCTGGTGTATTTGGGGGAGCAGTGGCATTGATTCTGTGGTGATATAGAGCCCCTGGAAGGGCTCTGTGGCAGTGGGGACAGTAGCTTGAAAGGGGGGGAGGATCTGGAAACAGATGAGGTAGGAATTTGGTGTTAGGCAGGTGAGGAGGCCTGTTTATGTTTAGTTTTTGGAGTTTAATATATCATAAAATATGCAGTTGCTACCAAAACCTTTGTTTCACAATCATTTGGCGAAGGGACCTAGTTTTACTTTTGCTCTTCGGTTCAGATGATAAGGAGTTGGGTCCTTTGTTCTTTAACCCGCTGTTCAGAGCACAAGATCTAGATGTTTGCTTCATAAGTAAAATACACTAAATGGTGTACTCCGGACACGCCACTACTAATTATGAGCTAACTGGCGGGTGGAGAGAGAGCTTAGCTTGGCTGAGAAGAACGTTTACTTCTGCTTTTGTCTTCATTTTCTGCTGTTGTCCTCACTGAATTGGACTTTGGACCCAGAATTTTGCTATGTATAGTTGTGCTCACTTTATGCTAATTTGAAGTTTCTTCTGTGATTTTTGTAACTTATTTTCATCTGAAGAGTTGGATAGGCTGTAATCCCAGCAGTCTGGAGGCGGGTAGATTGCCTG